ATAATTAACATTTTCTTTAAATCTTTAATATAAATTTAATTTTAATTAATTTACAACTTTATTTAAATACTTTTCCAAAACTAAGCAAATAAAACATTGTACATACCTTTACCAAGTACACATAATGACATGATGTTGGAAGAATAAAAATCCTTATGAAATTGAAGTAACCTTTCCCTTACATTTATGTTATTTTGTTTTGGAATTATATCTAATGTTTCTTTACTTCCACTAGTAAATTTTGAAAAAGGATGGTTTGGATCAGCAGATGACTTTTCCAATTGATCAATACGACATATATCATTATTTACATTTTTTTCATATTCTGAATGAATAGCATTCAGCTCTAATTCAGTTAAAGTTTCTGTAAAGAGTGGTGCAATAAAAAACTGTGCAAAACGATCTAATGCACCTTTCAATTTTTCTGAACGAACATCAAAATAATAAAGAGTGTGATCCATATTGGTTGTTCCATTATATCTACCACCATTTTGTGTTACATATTTACTATAATCATTTTGTTCTGGATATTTTTCTGTGCCTAAGAATAGCATGTGTTCACAAAAATGTGCTAAACCTGGTAAATCAGGTGGATCACTTAAATATCCTACAAAAATAAATAATATTAAAAACAATATACATTACTATAAAGGAGTAGTTATATTTTGTCTTGTTCAAAAAGTTTAAATTTAATTATGTACATATATATCATTTTACCAATGTTCACATTCAATGCTACAGCATCTTTGTCAGTTGTAGGATCACTAATAAGTAAAATTTTCATCTTATTGGTAAGCAATAGACCTCTATATTCTCTTTTATCATTCGGTGACTTAATAATGTCATTGTATCGTTTCTCAATATGATTCTGTAGAGACATGGTAGGAATGGCTACTTTTATATCAGATGATTTACATCTGAAAATTAGTAATAACATTGACAAAGATTAAGCAATATAGTCATTGAAGTAATCTAATAAACTATAATTGTTATTATAAGCAAACCTAAAATGCCTTTAAATTAATACGAATATTATAAATAAATATTTACTTTTCCTTTTCTTTAATTTTGTGACTAAAAGTATCAAATAAATAAGTTCTTACTTGGCAGTAGTAATATCTGTGCATAGAATTTTATCATTTTGATGTAATGATGCCATTATAAACACTAATATAAATAGTACACATCAAAGTTTTGTCATAAAAGAGAATACACTGATATAACTTAAATAAAAATGTTTAACGATTCTACTTATGTTTTATTCTTCTATAGCCTGTAATATATCAAATTTTATAGCTTTATATTTCTAATGAGTAATACAGTATCAAATATTTAATAATGATATTAATACTACAAAACAAAAGGTCAAATGTATCTTTCAGTTAGAATTCATATAAAATATGAATAATACACAGTTATATGTTTCACAAAATTAATTTTTTAAAATTAAAAAGTAACTTCAATGTTTAAGATTGCTATAATAATATAAAATGCAATAATAATATAAAAAATTCCAAATTTAATACGTAAAAACTAATAAATATATTTTTTCCATTGTTTCACAAATCAGTAGAATTTTCATTTATATAGGTCAAAAGTAAATTGTACCGCGTAATGTTTCGTCGTGAATAATTGCATACCTGTAGATAGAGCAAGAGTATGTGGGTATATAAAAAATACGAGATTTTAACATACGTACGAAAACCATTTTGATTAAATTTCTTTGCAAATTAATTCTCAAAAATTAAAATTTATTTAATCCTGTTATCGTGATTATTATATAATGTTTTGAAGTAAGTTGCAATAAATATCTACAGTTAATTTTGATTTCTTAATTCTGTATTGCAAACCATAATTATTTACAAATTCAAAATATAGGGAATGCTTATAATCAATATAGAAAAATGAATGTCTGCAATAACAGTTATATTTTCCATAAAATAATGTTAATAATTTTGTAACTGCACAATGTAAAAGTAAACTTTTTTATATAAATTGACTAATATTTCTGAAAGAAACGTAATAAAAAATATTTAACAACAGTATTTCTTATGCGTATTACAAAAATATTTTAACATTAATAAATAAATAATCTAGTTCTTTTTAATTTTGTTTGAACTTTAGTGGTAAAAATGGAGAATAGTAGCTACGCATAATACAAAGCGCATGATTCACGATCCTTGCCAAATCCCTAGAACTAACCAAATGCACAGCGGTGGTAGTTCTATGTGAAATGACGTGCAATGTATTATGTGAAACGCTATTCATCATCATATGTATCGTATGCCATTTCACATAGAACCGTCGCGTATGGGTTTTTGTATTAGGTGTAGGTGTAGGGCTTTGGCAAGTTAGTGCACCGTTTGTTGATAGAACATAATGTGTATTGTTTTTTCTTGTTAAATATAAATATTTTCATATACATCATTTTTGAAATATTATAAAAAATGTCAATTGAAATTGAATATGTAGAGTAATTATTTTA